AGTTACAGTCGCACAAGTTGCATTGCTTTAGAATTGGTCTGTTTACAAGGCTACCTTTTCCACAATACTGCGCACAGCACCTGGTACATATACAGATGAATGGAGGTGAAGTTACTTCCTAAAACACTGATAGATGTAAGAGCCTGTCATGCATAATAATCTCCACAGGATGATGGCAGTTCAGTGGATGCCAGTGGTATTATCTCCAGGAGCAGTTTTGTATAATAAAAGTTGATTTCTGGTCATCCAGACTTGAGTCCCTCTCTTGGCTTCACCAATTAAAGCTATGTGATTTTGAGCAAGTTTCTTGATTTCTGAGCCTCCATTTTTTTCTTTTCTGTGAAATGCAGAGGAAAATATCTAATGCTCAATTCAGATCTTAGGAATTATTTTGTAGAAAGGGACAGGGATGAAAAAATGACCCCAGCCTTGGTTCCAATCTGCTTGAGCTGGGAGGTGTTGAATTGGTGATGTCACTGACCTACGTTTTTCTGTTTCTACCATGTAGATCCTGACAGCTTCTTTCCTGACATACCCCATGCTTATGCCCAGGACCCTTAGCCTGCAGCTGTGTCTTTGGCACTCACTCTATCGTCTTTGTCAACTGTCCCAACCACCAAATTGCCAGAAACATTACCAGGTATGGTGAAGGGGTTTAGGTGCTGTTCTAGGAGACTTGAGGAGCTGCCAATTATGTTCCAGAGGGGCCACTTTTGGGCCCTTCCCTCACTTCTGACAGCCCTGTCTGTCCGGTGATGAACTCCACAGTTATCTACTTGGGTGATACGAAGAGCACAGCTGAATGATGGGTCCTGCTGCTTGGCCTTGAGTTGTGCATAGGTGTGTGCAAGGGATTTGAGACCCACAGAGATAGATGGGTTGCTCCAAGGTGTGAGATAAGAGAATAGTGGGACCTTGTAGATTGTAAATTTAAGTCTCCTAATTCCTGGCCCAGCTGTCTTTCTTCATGGAGGCATTCTCTTTGCTCAATCCCAGAGATCTTCATGACAAGTAAGGAGGAGGAGGCCATTCTCAGTATTGGGCAATTTTCTAGAAGCAGCTGTGGTATGGTGGAAAGAGCACTGGACTTGAATTAGGCCAGGATTTTAATCTTGGCATTGATACTAACTGTGTGACCTTGAGCACGTTGTTTCCCTTCTCTAAGCATTAGTTTTCTGAATTATAAAATGGGATAGTGTAACCCCTACCTCACAGGGTTGTTATGAGGAGTGAATGATATAAAATATGTGCACTGCTCACCCTAGTAATTGGAATATAGTAAATGCTCGGTGAATGTTTGTTGTATCTGAATTTCCTCCCTTCTCTCCTCTATAGATGCAGCTTTAAAGAGGGTTAGTGGGGTGGGGGGTAAGGAAGTTGGCCTTCCTTTTCCTTGGTGTCAAAGTTGACTATTGTAAGAAGTGGGTGGGGGAGAGGGCCACTTATTAAACACCAGCTTTTTCTGCGATGTACAGTCCTAGGTTCTTCATTACTTAATTATTTAATCCTTATAACTTAGTATTATCCTCATTTCGCACATGAAACCTGAGATCAGAGAGCACATGACACTTAAAAGTGGCAGAGCTAGGATGTGAACCCAAGTGTCTTACTCTAAACTTAATGCTCTTACTCCCTTTCATTTGACAAGTCCCTTTATAGGCCACAGATCCTATAGAGAGTTGGCTGCTGTAGCCAACTCTAAAGGAAGAGAGTTGTTAGTTATTAAAACATCTATGTGCTAAGTTGATCTGGCACTTAAAAACTTACTGTATTGTTTTCTTCTCACCACAGATCTGGAAGTTGGTGATGGTATCTCCATTCTACAAATAAGGGAACAGGTTTAGAGGAGTTCAGTGATCCTTAGGGTCTGTATAACTCCATCTTTCATGGTCTGGGTACTGTTCCAAACTGTCCTCTCAGAATGATGCTATGGGAGCTAGGCTAGGACCTAGACCAGTGTTTCCATGTGGGAAGTTCTTCCCAGCAGTTCTGAGCATATTTATGTTTTTTGACTCCACAATTCTTAGAAAAATCAGCTGAGGAAATGAGGAAAGGTATTGTAAATAACCTGTTAATACTAAAGTTTGTCATTATAGACATTTCTGGTTTAAAGAAACCCAACTTCATCAAACAAAAAACAAGAGCAGGAAACGCTAACACACTAACATGCCAAGTTGAAGGCTAAGAGAACCGAGACAGGTGCATATAAAAGAGAAATGGTCACCATTGTATGAGTCAGTCTTGCATTTGGTTGTTGCCATGTCGTAAGTGTGTCTGTTCCTGTCTGCTGCTAATGGTGAGTTTTTCTTGCAAATAATTTGATAAACATAGTATACTTTATACAAATACTATGGTATTCTATGAAGTAAACTTTGGAAAGAAAATAAATTTCTACATTGGCAATTTAGACACGTGATTGTGTGTACTATTGTTAACCTTGCTCTGGGATATTCAGGTGTTAATTGAATATATCCAGTAAATGTTCTCTGGCATTTTCCTGTCTTTAAATATTCCATATAAGCTACAGTTCTTTGTAAATACTACTATGCTTAATATGCCTATTAAACAAAATTTTTCCAGATACCCATAATAATGAGGAAAAAGAGTATGAAGTATTTTAAGAATAACTTATGAATTGGGGAATTTCTGAGAATTCTAATTTTTTATTCCTAAACTCCAAAGGTAAATATTTGTTGTGAATTTGGAAACATTAACCTAGACTGCAGAGAACCAGCACTCTCTAGCTTAGGAGGGCCGGCCAGTGTATTGCGCTTGCTGTAGAGCTTGCACTAGAACCCTGTCTTTCGACACCTACTGCCATTCACTGTTCATTCCATTCCATTTATTTCAGGCCAGAGAATAACCCACACTGCCCCCACCCTGGGCTCCCATTGTGGTTTTATGCCAAGAGCAGCTAAAGGGTTGAAGCAGAAGGAGCAGTAGAAAGGAAGTATTAATAGTAAATGAAGGGCAGACATTAACACAACTGAGCCCTTCACTCAGGGGATTAACAGGCTACACTTTACCCCTGAAACTGTAGGATTCAGTTGAACCCATGGCCTTCTCCATATAACTGACCTTTTTCCTGTCCCTTCACATCTATTTTTTTCCTCTCCAAACTGCCCTGAATTTAGAGAAGTTTAAAGTAATAATCAGTCACACACATGAAAAATTCCCTCCCAACACTTGGGGAGCAGGGTGTGGCAGGGTTATCACTGGCATTTGAAGGGTGAGAAAACTGAAGCAAAGGAACCTAACCGAAGTGGTACAGGTTATAACTAGCAGAGCCAGTTATAGAATTGTGTTTCACTTCATGTTTCTAGAATTGTGTGCCTATGTGTACTGAGTAAAGTTTTCTAGTACCTGCATTTAAGTATTTTAACAGGGTCAATTTCATTTCCCATCTTATACCTCTCGTTGGCCCTCAGCTGTTTTTTTGCTCTCATGGATCAGGTACACATAGTAGAGAAAAGGTTCCCCATTCTTTCTGGCAGTAAGGGTGAGAATATTGCTGAGAGAATGTTCTAGGCAGCAGTAACAGTGGCAAGGTGGCCAGAGGATGGGTCCCACCATTCGTCTTCCTCAGCCTCCAGGAAACCCAGAGCAGAACCCAGAGCCAATTCCTTCTGGTAATTCACTCTGGGGAAGATAGGTGGTTTTTTTAAAGGGAGCTTTTAAATTGTAAATCAGACACATTAATTATAACTTTAATGTAACAAATGTTATTAAAAGCAGCAATTCAAAACCATGAATCTTTTAGAAGGTGCAGAGGGTTACGGGGTCAGTTGGCAGTAATGCAGCTATGATCTCGTATGAATGAAATGCTGGGGTGGGGAGTCAGGGCCACCTTGTTAGGCCTCGTGCTTCCCCAAGTAGGGAGGACCCCACCTTCCCTCCTTTCCCCTCTTGAAGCCCAGAGCCCTCTGGAGCCTGAGTAGGGAAGGAGCAGCTGTACTGTGACAGGACTTGCTCATCCTGGGCTTTCTCATAAGTCTGGAAAGCAGGCCTGGGAGGCAGCTGTGTGCTCTGAAGCCAGGCAGGAAGCCACAGATTGCATCCCAGGCCCCACACCCCTGCTGGGCTGGGGGCTGGCTTCTCAGCTCCCCTTCCACCTGGCCCCAGTTGGAGGCCCCAGTGGCAGCAGCTGTGGGGCTGAGAAGGGGGAGAACTGGGCCCAAGCCAACCTGTCCCTGCCTGGGCCATGCCAGGGGAGCAGAGGGAAGCAGGTGGGCTGTGCACAGAGGATGAGGTCCCTTTCAAAGGCACAATGGCAGCAGAGATTTAAGGCAAGGGGCATCTCAACTACCTCAGGGACCCTGTGAATGCTCACAGGTGAGGAGGGGACTCAGGCCTAGTAATGGAAAACCCAGCTTCTCAGGCCTGCTGTCCCCCCACCTCTCCCTTTTCCACCCACCTTCGCCTTCCCGCTGGCGGCCCGCAGAACCCAGCCACGCTGGAGGCCACAGCAGCAGTTGGCAAAGCTGGTCCCCATCTGGTGCCCACCCCCCAAGTCAAGGCACTTCTTTTCATTTTCCAATCAAGTGAGTCAGTTTCTAACATCTCTGGAAGCAGCAAAAATGAGGGGTCCCCTTCCCCCTCCCAATTTTGGTTTCCCTCCAGATGAGGGAACAATCTTTGAATGTTGGTTCTAAGAATTCTATTTCTACCCCCACTGACAAAGGTTTCCCTTTGAGGGAACTGAGTGATATAGGCCCTTTAAAAATTGCAGCCTGTCCCAAAAAGTGATTGTGAACTTCTGGGCAGGGCAGGGGATATGGAAAAGAGTATGAGTCTCCTGTGCTTCCCTATGGGGCTGAAAGAAGAGGGCAGGAGCCGAGCTCTCACACTGAGTTGCAGCACCTGGGTCCTGCAGAGGGCCAAGGGAAGGCCAAAGGCGGGAGCCAGGTTGGCCCCACAGGGAATGTGTGCTGCGTGTGCACATGTGGTGGTGTGGGAAGTGTGTGTGGAAACTTCCATGTGCATGGATGTGTGTTGTCTGGCTGCGTGTGTGGTGGGTCTAGGGGCAGAAGGCACCGGAAACAGTCTGGGGTGTAGCACAACATGGCTGCCCTCCCTTTCGCCTTCACTCCAGCAAGGCTAGGCCCAGCACGGCAACAGAGGGGGTGTGGCCAGGGAACCGAAAACTGGGACCTCCACAGCTGACTCCTGCAGCCTTCGCTCTCAGCCTGAATACCTGGGCCCTGGTGCCCCTGCCTTCCGAGGGAGACCCAGCTCTTTGCTCCTCACATCCGAGAGTCCTGGAGTCTCTGCCCCCTCATAGGTGTTCATGGGGCCCTTCTTCCACCCCCACCACCTCTCTCCAAGGGCAGGAAAGTGGGAGGGAAAAGCTTCGAGAGGCAGCCTCTTATCCACCTCTTCCCATTCTCTCAAAGGTTCCTGTCCTCATAACGTAGTCCCTGGAAGGACTGGCTGCCCCACAGGTCAGATGTGAAGATATTCACTAGAGGGACAGTGTGCACAGGTAGGATGTATAAACACACCCAGAAGGGATGAGAGAGGTTAAGGGACAGAGCTGGTGACAAAAATTCGGGCCTCAGGGGAAAGGGTCACAGAGCCAGAGAGACATAAATTTAGAGGAACACGTAAACAGAGTCGGGGGTGTGGAGTGTGGAGACACTGGAAAATAGCCTGTGGAACCTTAGAGACACAGGTGAAGGGGTGACGAGCCTGAGGAGGCCCTAGAGCAGAACTGGCACAGCAGAAACGCAGGCCTGGGCCTTGGCCTGAGAAGCAGGCAGGCAGGCAGGGCCTTTGCCAGGCACTTGGAGCTCTGCCCTGCTTCCCTCTCCCACCCCAGCCTGGAGAAAACTGGAGCCTATGGCTTCTGCTGTCCCTCCTTTGGTTTTCAGGGCTCCTGGCCTCCCCCCAGGGCTAGTCAGTAAGGGGTGGTCCCTTCCCACTCCACCAGGTACTGAACCTTGCCCTCAGGCGTGACCCTCCTAGCCAGCACCTGGTACTTCTCCCCACAGGCCAGCCGCCCAGCTGCGCCGAAGTAGTTGGTGATAGATGACTTGAGGTGGGACAAGGATGAGTCATCTTCACTAATGCTCTCAAACGTGTGGCTGTCAATGCCTTCTTCTGGCCGCTCGGGGCCAGAAGCCCCCTCTGCGCTGCTGTCCGAGGGGCAGTGTCCACCCAGCTCAGCTGCCCGCCGCTTTGCCCGCAGTGGCATGTATGCTTTGGCTGCCAGCTTCCTCTTGCGGCTGCCCACTGTCCGTCTGTATCGGGAGGGGGAGAGGGCAGTGATGCGAATGAGAAGAGTGATCGCGAATTCCTCTCCCTAAGCACTCTCGTAGGTCCCGGGCACGGGTTATCTCACTGGATCCTCACAGCAGCCGTGTGAGGAGGGAAACTGAGGCTCCAGAGAAGTAACCAGCTGGGGAGATGCTGAGCCAGGATTCAAAACTAGGTATGTCCAACTCTAAGCCACGTGCTCTTTACAGCCAGGACCCCAGCACCGCACAAGCACAGGAGCACCCTTCCCTGAGCCTCCCAACGCCGTGCAGCGCAGAGGCCCTGCTTATGCGGCCTTGTCCCTCACTGGAATTCACGTGGAGCCAGATGGTCACACGGAGATAGGCGTGGGGGTTGTAGATGAAAGGACCCTGTACCCCAGAGCCTGGACAGAGAGACTGATGGACATCACACACACACAGAGGCAGAGGAGTTGTAGAAGTGGACACCTGAGACAGGTGCACATTCACAGATGCCCGGGGACAGCAACTAAGACCTGAAGCACTAATGGAGCCAAAGAAATAGGAAGAAATAAATGAAAATACAGAGGCAACTGCAGAGAAACGCAGACAGATATCAGGAGACAAAGAAGGACTCTGAGACATACCTCTACAGGCATTATGCTTTTTTTTTAAACCCACCTATAACCTATAGGGCCCCTGCTTCCAGATGTCCCACCCCTTCAGGCTAAACCAATGCACACCTTCTACTTCCTGACCCACGATCTTCCGTGTAATTCCTGTCTCCGTGAATGCACAAAACCAAACTGCAACCAGCTACCACAGGCACATTTTCTCAGGCCCTGTTGAACATGTGCTCCAGCTTGTCAGTCACACACACTCAGCTAAGATTAAACCTCCCTAAATTATTTTGTGGAGTTCGGGTTTTTTCCCGTTAACATGGGGATATGTTCTGAGAAAAGGCAATTTTGTTGCTGTGTGAACATCATAGCATGTTCTTACACAAACCTAGATGGTACAGCCTACTACACGCCTAGGCTATACAGTATAGCCCATTGCTCTGTTAATGGAAAAAACCCAAACTCTGCAGAATAATTCAAAGAGCTGAGTGTAAGTGACTGATGACCTGGAGCACATGTTTTCAAGAAGTACCAAGAAAATGTGCCCAGCGTTATACTTTTAATTCCGCCTTTGCAAGGGCCTCAAGTATCCTAAAATACAATTTGAGGAGCCTCGGTGTTCAGAAAAAATCCTTATGCTTTGCAGCACCACTCTCCCTGTGCTGCGTGAGGACCAACTACTGCCAAATTGGTGTACCCTTGGCCAGGCCCCCCAGGGATTTCTGTCCCCTTTCCCAGAGCCTATACCCTGCATGATGGCCTCTTCCGTCTTCCTTCCATCTGCTTCCAAATAAATGGCTCTTTCCCTTAGAGTCCCCAGAAGACAGATACCAGATTCAGGCAGCCCAGAGCCAAAGTCAGGGGACCCTGCAGTCTGAGAGGCACAGACATGCAAAGGCACGGCATGCAGAGACCAAGAACCCCAGAATGAAAGAACCTCTGGTCAGACAATCCCAGAACTGGAACTGTCCAGCGAGAGGTGTCATACAACCTTCTGCAGCAGGTGAAGAGCACCGCAAAGGACAGAAGCACAGCAGCTGAATGCTCATACTTAGCCCCCGTTTAAGCCCCAGTGACAGAACCACAGGGTGACAGAGCCAGATTCACACAGTCACAGAAGGCCAGGTCCCCCTGCTGGGACTCAGATATACAGAATGAGCCACCTGTCACAGAAGTGGGAGGTGGAGGGGCTGGGGGGAATGATGGTCCTTGTAAAATTTGAAGATCTCCAGGGAGCTCACCTAGAGTCATAGGAGAGGCTGGTGGAGGCGGAGCCAGAGGTGCTGGCGGCGTCTGTGGAGTCCACATCTGAGAAGAATGTCTGGCCTGAGCTGGCACTGAGAAGGAGGAGAGGGTGAGCCTGCCGTTGGCTCAGCCAGCAAGGTCCTGCCAAACTGGTCCTCAGGGGCCCTTGGAAGCTAACCAGCCGTCTCTCTGCCCCCTGACTTGCATCCTAGCTGAAGCCCATCTTCCCACTGCTGAGCTGCTGTCACACCTGCCTATCCATTTCCTACCCATCCAGCCTCCAAAGCCTTCCCTGACCACCCTTCCCTGGTGCTGATATAAGCACTGGTGACCATAACTAATGAGCAGTATCTGAGGCACTGATGCAACACTTTACAAGTTAAAAGTACTTTCATTTGCATAGCTTATTTGAGGAAAACAGATGAAGAGGTTCAGAGAGGTTAAGGAATTAAGCTAAAGCCACACAGCTAGAACTGGTAAACTGGGTCTGAAGCTCAGGTCTGTCTCACTAAAGCCCTTGCTCCTTCCTCCAAGCCCTCAGGAAAGCACTGAACGACCTTTAATAATATTGGAAACAAAATGATGGAAGATGCAGTCCCTTCCAAGATGCAGTCCCTCCCCTTGGAAGTGACTTGGCGGGGGGCTAGCAAAGCCTTCCTGGATGAGCCGGGGTCATCTTCAGTTTTCAGATGGGGTAGGGTGGGGCAAAGGGTATTCCAGGCAGAGGGAACAGCATGCACAAAGGTGAGGAGGCATCGGGCAGCACAGCGAGTGTGGGGTGACCACAGCAATTTGAGCAGAAAGTGTAAGGCAGGATGGGAGCTGGAGGGGTAGGGAGGGCTGGGCAAGGCAGGCCTTGATCACTGCTCTGGGCACGGGGATGTTATCCTGAAAGCTCTAGTGTAAAAAGACCCTTCAGGCAGACCCGTGCCACAAGGACTCTTCCAACTGGGGGTTTCAGAATGACTCACGGGAGTTCCCACCCCCTCAGAAGGCTTTCTGCTCCGCCCCTTCCAGAGCCTTCCTGCACTGCCAGGGAATGGAGGTAGCTTCCCTATGTGGTTCCATCCCAGTCTGCAGAGCAACCTCTCCACTAGGTCCCTCACTGATACCTTTTTAAACTCTGGATTTCATCCAGCGTGAAGTCAAATATGCTGGCGAGGTGGTGGTTGGTGCTCCAGGCGGAGGTGAAGTCACTCTGTGGACACAGGAAGGAGAGGGGAGTGGTCAGCTAGTGAGGACCAAGTCCGCCTCCCACAAGTACCCAGCTGAGGGCCACACAGGCTGCCCGCCGTCCAGCCAGGGCTGCCGAGGGCTGGACCCTCCCTAGGGTAAGGCCTGTCACTTCCTTGTTATTCCAAGTCCTCACCAGGGAGCCAAGTCACCCCAGTCCTAGTCCTGGCTTTGCCTCTAGCCGACTGTAAGACTTTCACCTCCCTCTCTGGGCCTCAGTCACCTCTACTGCAAAATGAGGACAATAACCCCTGTCCTGCTTCACTCTTAGAGGTGTCAGGAAGCACCATAACATTAAATAATTGTAAAAGTGCCTTGCAAACTGTAGCGAGCTGGGAGATGAGGCGTTGTTAGCATTACTGCCCCCAGGGAGGGCTCCAGTCACTACGCAGGGTTACTGAATAAGGAAAGAAAGTGTTCTGGAGCCTTGGTGACTCAGGACAGTCACTGCTCCACCCTGCCCTCAGTTTCCCCATCTGGACAGTGAGGGAAAGAATTTTGCCTGCTCTTGCCCCCCAACTTGGGTTCTGGGGAGAACTTGGGAAGATAAGGAAGAGGTCTTAGAGTGCCCGGCTTTCCCTCATTTAGCTGTAATAGGAGCTGGCTTCTGCCTTAAGGGACACGGGAGAGTCCCCTGGGCCTGGGGGTCAGAGTTTTCCGCACAGGAATCCCTGATATGTGCTGACCCTGCGTGTGAGAATGGAAAGTAAGAAAACAAGGAACTAACACTGGGAATAGCATCTTCCAGCAAAAACTTTGACCTTTTTCTTCTATAAACTCGCCTTTTCTGCTGCTGGAATTCGTGAGGCAACAAACTGTGGAGACAGAAAAGGGAGAGGGTGGCCCAGTCAGAGCCTGAGGGCCCAGAGGGTGGTGCCTCAGGAGTGGCAGGACAGGGCTCCAGACAACAGCAGCACCTTCCCAGGGAGGCCTGGGGAACAGGGGGTCGGGGGGTATAGTGGGCAGAAAAAGAAAAGGCGCCTCCCCACGCAGGTGCATCCAGACGCCCTGCCCGCTAACGCCAGGACGAGGGGCTCTGCTCGGCTAGGAGGGCTAGGGACCCCTCACGCCGCCTTCCCCTTCACCTCCGTGCCCAAGTCCTCATCCAGCAAGCCTGGGGCCCACGATCTGGGTCTCCCTCCCTGAGGCAACAGGGGGCTGTGGTAGGAGTCGGGGGTCTGGGACCAGGTCCCGCTCAGCCACTAACTAGCCTCAGGGTGCCTGCAGCTGCACTAGCTGGGTCCAGGTCCGCCTTGCTTCCTTGGATGCCACATCCCCTCTGGGGAGCTGGGAGCGGAGAAACCAAGTTCGGCCGCAGCCCTAGCCCCTGGGCCCAGAGCACTGACCCAGGCTTGCTCTTTCCTCTCTTACGCAGCTCGGAGGAGGTGCTGCTCTCACTGGGCATCAGTCCCTTGTCAGGCAGCAGCTTCCCTGGCGGGTTGGGGGGGACGCGGATGCGCAGGCGGAAGATGCATTTCTTCTTCTTGATCTCCTTGCCACAGAGGAACCTGAGGGTGGGCAGGGGGAGGAAACAGCTTTGGAGTCCGTCAGCGCATCCTCCTAGGGAGTGGGGCAAGCGTTAAACAAGCCGCTGCCTCCCTGGATCCAGAGCTGAACTCCAGAGCGGCCTCTGGAGACTCGGATGCGGAGTCGCAGGGGGTAGCTGAGGATTTAGCTGGTGGCTCCCCCATCCCTCCTGCATTAGTGTGGGTCTTGCTGCTCTCGTCCCTTTCCTTCTCTGCCTCAACCAACTCCAAGGCCACCTCCTACAGGAAGGCCTCCTCCAGCTCACAGCAGAACTGATAATAGATTCTACCTCTTTCTGTGCTTGCCTCTCCCCAGGAGACCGAAAGGACCTCCAGGCATTTTCCTCCTCCCCTGCATACTGCAGGGGTGACTCAGACACAGCACTGCCCTCAGGGGACAGTCCACGGGGAGGGCTGAAGGCCTCATGTACTGAAGGGTCTGGGCCCCAAACCATGAGCATGTGGAAGAGGGGGTGAGCAGTTTTGCCTGGAAGTGTCTGGAAAGGTCTCATGGAAGCAGGGACCTTTTCTCATTCCCTACTGGGCGGCCTCAGCACCTAGACAGGGCCTGACACAGAACAGCAATTCAATACTTGATGACGGAACAAGTGAATAAAAGAGTAACCTGGGCAAAGGGAAGAGTACAAGCAAAAGCACCGAGGCGGAAAGGGCTCGGTGTGGCTGGCACCCAGAATAAAGCAAAGGGACAGTGGCTGAAGACATGGGCCGGGCTTGATCCTAAAAGGCCCTGAACGCCAGATTAAGGAGCCTGGTACCCCACTGTGGTGGTGGTGAGGGACGCTGCCGGCTGTGTGTGCTGAGAACCCCAGATGGGAGGACATGCTCTGGGGGACGGGTCAGGAGGCTGCAGCCCACCTGAGAAATGATGCATTGATCCCTCAGTGCCTGGCCCAGAACCCTAGATGGCTAGAGCAGGTGGGGCCCTGTTAGAGCAGGTGCACCCCTCTATGGAGCTGAGCCCAGAGCCAAATGGGCCAGGCTGCTGGGGTGGTCAGGGAGGCTTCACAAAGGCAGTGGGGCTCCCTGGATCTTGAAGGATGGGAAGGGTTTATAGAGTCAACAAGAAGGGGAGGGGGACCCAGGCAGGGAGCACAGCTTGTGCAAAGCCTAAGAGGTAGAAAGAACTTTTATATTGAAATCCCACCTGTGGAGGGGGGCTCTTAGCCTTCTCTCCTCTCCCCGCACTCACCGGCTTTTGTAACTGTTGAGAGCGTTGAGGAGATGCGGTCCTCGATCTGTCACAGGGGTGCTGGTGAGCTGAGGGGAACAGGCCAGCAGGACAGTCAGACCGAGGCATGAGGCATGGGGGAAGCCCCAGCCCCTGTCCCTCCCTCCCACTTCTGAGTCCTCCCGGCGAGGACCAGTGACTTACTCCATGATCTCAGACAAGTCTTTTCACCTGTCTGAGCTCATGTGCCCATCTGTAAATGGAGAGGATAACTCCTGACCTCAGGGTATCAGAGAGCTTTAACAACGTCCATACCCTTGACCCAGTTAACACACTCCATGGATTCCATCATGGAATCTATATCTGCAGATATAATATGAAACCTGAACAAAACTTCACAAACAAAAATGCTCCCTGTGGCATTGTTTCTAATGGTGGATAAATGGCAAAGAAAGTATATGCCCAACAGGAAGAAAACAAGTAAACTATGGTAGAAACCAATGCAGCCATTAAAAATGGTTATGAAGATTCCGTAATAATATGGAAAAGTATTTATGCTATAATGTAAACTAAAAAAAGATGATTGAAAATTGTATATGCTGTATCATCTAAAGCATATAAAATGAAAACATACGCATAGAAAAGAATCAAAGGAAATGTACCTATTTCCTTTGTGTTATTTCTAATGTTATTTCTAGTTATTTCTGGGTGGTGTGATATAGGAATATGGATTTTTTTAAAAAGTACACTTCCTTATACTTTAAAAAGTTTCTACCAGGAACATGTATGATTTTTTTTAATAATCATAAAAAAAAGTTATTTTAAAAAATACCAACTCTACCTATCTTTTAAAGCTTTATAGTATGTATGTCTTTTATAAATTATCAAACACTATAAATGAAGACATATAAAACCTTTTGCAAAGCATAAAGATTACTTAAAAAAAAATCCTTAGGCCGGGCTCAGTGGCTCATGCCTGTAATCCTAGCACTCTGGGAGGCCGAGGTGAGAGGATTGCTTGAGGTCAGGAGTTCGAGACCAGCTGAGCAAGACGAGACCCTCTGTCTACAAAAAATTTTGAAAATTAGCCAGGCGTGGTGGTGCGTGCCTGTGACTAGTCCTAGCTATCTGGGAGGCTGAGGCAGGAGGCTCACTTGGGCCCAGGAGTTTGAGGTTGCAGTGAGCTACAATGACACCACTGCACTCTACCCAGGGCGACAGAGTGAGACTCTGTCTCAAAACAAACAAAACAAAAAGAGAAACAAAAATTCCTGTCTTATCAAAGAAGGATCTGGGGCAGTCAGTGGAGAAGGTGCATCGCTCTGTATGTGCTGGGGCAGATTCTGAGGGTGTCCTTAGGAAAGGGCGGAGCTGCGCTGAGGGGGTGGTTCTGGAGGCCTGGCTCCAGCTCTGGCTCAGCCCCAAAGCTCTGCTGACCATAGGCAAGTCACTCTCCAGCTCTGACATTCTGAAAGTCTTCGTGTGTTACTTCACTCCATGGATCTGGGGCTCCCAGGCCCCTGGTGACCCACTGTTCAGAACAGGCTCAGCAGGGGTAGACCTTCTCCACTCTCCATCCTAGCCAGGAAATCTGGAGTGGGTCAAATGCTCAGCAGAGAGCCCTGCTCCCGCCAGATGTGATCCAGGGCCCCAGCTCCCCACAGCTGAGTCAGTGAGGCCCAATCGCCCACTGCTGAAATCTGGGCTCAGGAAGGCCCTAAGAGGGCACAGGCCCAGAGGCCTGGACTCAGGGATGTAGCAGCTCCAGCGTGAGAGCTCAGAAACCTAGATCCTAACCCTGAGCACACTCTCCGACTCCTGCCACTCTGACATCCCATGGCCCTGCATACCTTGCCAAGCTGTAGGAGCTCCCAGTGGTGGTTGACAAAGGCCAGGATCTCCTCAAAGTCAAAGTACTTCTTCTTGCTCTGCACCCCCAGGTTATAGAGGGCCAGGTGAACCACGTCCACCCTGGGCAAGGGGGCAAGGAGATGGGGCAAGGTGAGGCAGAAGCCTGCCCAGCTAGGGCTTGCGCCTCCTGGGTCAGGCTGAGAGGAAGAGGCAAGGCTGGGACCCGGCAGCTGGAAATGGAATTGTTCCAGGAGGGAGGAGGGAAGTGGGAGGGCAAGAGCTGGGAGGGGGAAGGGCGGGTTGGGGCCAAGCCCCACTCTCTCACCATCGCAGGGGCAGCCTCTCAATGTACTCTGGGCCCTGGTTACACACGGAGCAGAAGAACAGGTAGAACCTGTGGGTGGGTGGAGAGGGGGCCTGTGGTGGGAGGGGCTCTAACACCCCACCCTGGTTCAACACCCTCCCCGCCGACCTGCCTTCCCTTAGTCAGCGTTCTCACTCCTGGGGCTGGTGGCCTCTAGCGGGTAAGGACAGGGCAGGACTGGGATGAAGAAATATTCTCCTATCCCTTCTAACCCCTACCCCAACGCTCTTCCCAAACACTGCCCTGAAGTATGGCTGAGTTCATAGAGTGAGCTGAGCTAGGCTGGCTGCAGTGGTCACCCTCTTCCCCTCTGACACAGACTCACTCACACACAATCACAAATGACTTGGGACACTAACCAGAAGACATACAATATCTGGTTTGACATACATAATGCCTCCATTAGCTTAGCCTCATGGGTTAGAAGCTGGATCAAGACATCCAGTTCCCCAGTGGCTTCTATAGCAACCCTGAGCAGAAGTGGGGTGGGGACTGTGTTTTCCCTCCTTCCCCAGACACTTAAGAGACTGGGGCTTAGGGAAGGCAGGGATTTGTCCAGGGTACCCGACTAATCAATGGCATCAGTGGCCCAGCATGTTTCTTTATTGCCTCCTGGCATAGCCAGGGGCTCCCCTACCCTGTACTGCCTCCCGTAGACAGGCAGGTATACATTACCAGAGACCCCTCCTTGTCTGGGGCCTGGCAGGCCATCTGAAAGAGATGCTGCTGCCATCCCTGGCCCCTTATCCCATCCCCAAGACTCAACGGGACCAAATTAACACCTACCGGTCTCCAAACATCATGGGCTCATTGAGGCACTGGGTGCAGGCCTCGTGGAACCACTGCCTGCACCGGTAACATTGCAGCATCCGCAGGTACCATCTCGAGAGACAGAGGAGCCAGGATCAGCTGGGACCACACTCCCAGGCAGGCGTGAGCCTCAGCACCCTTCCCACCATAACCTTGCCCTCCACCAGTAGAAGAGAAAGAGAACTCACAGTTACTGAACTTAGGCTGTGCCAAGGGAGGACCTGGGAGCCAGGCACATGCTATCTCTTCTGATCTCACCATTTGGCAAAAGGTGGGCCACTGTCCCCATATTACAGATGAGTCAGAAGTTAAATGCCTTGCTCAAGGTCACTCAGAAAGCAAGTGGAGGATGGTGATTTGAGTTCTGGTCTTCCTAACTTCAAAGCCATTGCTTCCCCTGCCGTGCCACACTGGAGCCCCCATCTCTGGACATGTTGCTTCCCAAACACCACTGGCAGGGAAAGGTTTGCCCAGGAGACTTCATGGAAGAATAATGGCTCCTGAAAGCTACATGGGGGCAGGACATCTGGTTCTTCCCACCAAGTACTAAATCTACCCTATCATGGCCATCTAGCAACTATTCACTGAGTATGAATGAAGAGTAAAAAGTTATTCCCTTGATAACTATCAATGCTTTGTTCACTCCTTGTCAGGTGAGGTACAGGTTAAAATGCAGATTCCTTGGTCCACTCCAGACCTATTCGATCTTTGGGGAAGCCTCCGGGATGCATTTTTAATAATATCCTGTGCAACTCTGCCCAGTAAGTGTTGAGAAGCACTGCCTTAATGCTGCAAAGGTTTCTGAAAGCATTTCTCCATCTGTTATTTCTTAGGCCTCCCAACACTCTGGGAAGTTGATGGAGCTGAAATAATTAAACCCATGTGAAAGATGAGGTGGGTCAAGTGATTACCCAAGTTACTAGCTGGGGTATAAGTACTGCCTGCGGACCCTTAGGTATCCACAGAGCTTGGGGCTGAGATTCAGGACTTCAGAGGGTCCCGAAGGCTGCATTTCCTGAGGCCAGAGACCCTACCTCTTTTGTCTGTGGTTCCTTCCACAATGCCTGGTGCAGTCAGCCCAAAGCTCAACTGTCCATGGCTACATGAACGCCCAGTTGGCAAGGAAGGATCAAAGACTCTTGCCCCATCCAGGGCAAGGATCCCCTCCACAGCATCCCCAATATATGACCCGCAGCCCCTGTTTGCACTTCTGCAAGGAAAAGGATTTTAATATTTCACCAATAGCCTGTTACATTGCTTTGACAATGAAAAGGTTATCTTGGCTTCCGTGCATTAGTAGCCCGACCACCATCACATTTTTAAAGTGCTTACCAAGTGCCAGATACTGTGTGAACCTTTATGTGAATTATATAATTCACGCCCTGCTCACAACCACCACAAGACCGAAAAACTATTAAGAGAACTGAGGCTCACGGGTTGCCAGCTGGTAAGGGGTAGAGCCAGGGTGTGGACGTCCTGGGAGGATCTGGACCGAGTGTCGGGGGCCTAAGCTCTTAACCGCTCAACACTTCTTCCTTTCCCACGATGCTCCTCCGAGGACACACCTCTGCCCTCTACCCTCAGTGCTCTAGAGTGACAGACACTACCAGGAGCCCGGCCTTAGTTAGGTCCTTAACTTCGGTTCTCCCCGTGAGGCCCCGCCCCCTCGGGCGCCACCCCGAAGCCTTACCTTTGGGTACCGCCCCTTGAGGCCCCTTCTCGTCGGATCCTGTTCCCCAGGCGACTCTCCCGGTTCTCCCCCTTGACCCCCTGTCCCCGCCACCCGATGCTCCCTAACCTGCTCCGCCTCCCTGGAGCCCTGCTGCGGCCCGCCAGGCCCGCCCACCCTTCGAGCCCCACCCTGGCGGCTGACTCTCCAGGGCCGGCCCCCGAGGCCCGGTCCCTGTGGCTGACACTCCAGGCCCCGAGGCCCCGCCCCCGAGGCTGACACTCCAGGCCCCGAGGCCCCGCCCCCGAGGCTGACACTCCAGGCCCCGAGGCCCCGCCCCCGAGGCTGACACTCCAGGCCCCGAGGCCCCGCCCCCGTGGCTGACACTCCAGGCCCGCCCCCCGAGGTCCCGCCCCCGTGGCTGACTCTCCAGGCCGGCCCGCGAGGCCCGGTCCCTGTGGCTGACACTCCAGGCCCCGAGGTCCCGCCCCCCTGGCTGACTCTCCAGGCCCGCCCCCCCGAGGCCCGGTCCCGGTCCCCAAGGCCTGACTCTCCCGGCTGGCTTCTGTCGGGCCGGCCCTGCTGCCCCGCCTCCCTGGGGGCCCCGGCCCCGCGGCCTTACTCTCCGGGCCCGCCGCAGTAGCAGTAGCATTGCTGCTGATTGGTGCGGTGGGGTGAGTCCCACTCGAGCTCCTCGGGCTGGTAGGACAGCACCATCTTCACGGCCTGCAGCGTCCTGGCGATGGCGCCCTTCTTCAGCGCGCCGCCTTTCTGGGGGGAGACGAGGACCTGAGTCAACTGCCGGGTCCCAGCACGCGCGGGCACACGGCTACCAAGGGAAATGCTGCCCAGGAGTTGGGGGTACCCGCAGACAGTCCAATGTAGTCAGAGACACAAAGCTTTTTCTCACCAATTCCAAACCATCCCCTCTATCCCAGAAGGATCTCCATTCATATTAATAACAGTATTAATAGTAATAAGCACAATAAAAGGTGACAATTACCAATATGTATTGAGTGTGGACATTATATGGGTTTTCTCTTCTAATAGTAAAGCACCATTTATTGGGGTCCTCCTACTTCTGACACCAAATCCGTGTTCATTTACAGATGCGGAAATAGGCTCAGGAAGCAATGGAACCTGGCCAAGGACAGACGGCTGGTAAGTAGCAGAGGTGCTGCCTAGCTACAAAGCCCAGGTGGGGTCCTTCTGCTTGGAGCTCAGGCTCTGTGATGGGGAGTCAGGCCGGAGCACAGGGGTTCTCTGGGCTGCCCGACTGGAGGAGGCAGGAGAAGCAGGGACTGGGAGGGACGGAGGCCTCACCCGCACAGCCAGCGCGAAGATGCAGCGTCGGCAGAACCAGGGTGTGAGCAGGGGCCGGTCGGCACTGCCTGCTATGGGGATGTGGCACTGCTGGTGGTAACCTACGGCAGAGGAGGGGGTAGTGAGTGCCCATAGGAAGCAGTGGCCCAAGGCCAGACGGCCCAAAGGTGGCAGGGCTGGGAGGGCTGCGGGAAATCCTAGGAGTTCTGCCTGCCAGCTGCCAGGGGACTGGCTGGTGATGCCCACCAAGGCGGCCAAATCGGTGTCCAGGCTGGGGACTAAATGACAGCATTGGCCAGTGGGGGAGGCACCAAGGTCTGGCTTCAGTGCCTGTGCCCCATCTTTCCCAGCCAACCTCTCCACCTAGAGGGGGCCCAAACTGCATACCCGCATTGTACTTTCCCAGCTTTCCCCAAGGTCACCTCCCTGGCCCTGACTCCCTGGCCCTGATGCACAGAGACTGGCCCCTTTTTCTCCTAGAGCTCCAAGAGAAACAGAAAGCCAGCGGAGGCCCCAACAATCAGAAGCAGTGCCCTTAGTGGCCAGTGTGGGGGGACCCTCAGGTCAGGGCCTTCTCAGAGCCCTGCTGCGTCCACTCACCTAGGCCACACTTCCCACAGATGAGGATCTCATTCAGAGGCCCTGATGTCTTCCCCAGGCAGATGTTGCACTTGGGCTCCTCTCCTGGAACGCCGGCTGAAACAGAGGCCCTCTAGGGTCAGGTCCAGCTCACGGGAATTAGGAGAATTTTACAATCGGTCCAGGTGCTGAGCCGCTCCTGCGTGCTGGGCTTAGCGCTGAGCCCCATGTGCTACCTCATTGCATCTCCCCAACCTCTCTGAAGTGCCTGTTACCACTAGTCCATTCTAAAGATGGGGAAATTGAGGCTCTGAGAGGTTAGGTACCTTGCTTAGCTAGTAAGTAGGAGATGTGGGATTTAAAGCCATGGCTGTGTGACATCAAATCCTTTGTGCTTTTAACCACATCATACTGCCTCTCCTTCTTAATTTAACTTGTTTTGTTAAACAGTTATGTTAAATAATTTAAAAAAATTATATTTTGGGACAATAATAGGATGTTAAAATGAAACCCCATGTTCTCACCAACAATTATGAACACATGGCCAATCTTGTTTCAACTATATTCCCACCCACTTCTCCTTCCTGTAATTATTTTGAATCAAGTCCCAGATACCCATTTTTCCATAAAGATTTTAGTATGCATCTCCGAAAGATCAGGACTCTTTTTTTAAAAACATAACTACAGCACCTTTATTTCACCTGAAAATTAACACAGTTGCTTAATGACATCTACAAATTCAGTTAGTGTTCACATTTCCAACCATCCCCTAAATAAAAATGTCATCAGAATTTTAAGTCTGTTCTTTTAAATCAAGATCCATATAAAGTCCACACATGGTGACTGGCTGATGTTTTTAAAATTGGTTTTAATCTACAGATTCCCTCTCCATCTCTCTTTTTTTGGGGTCCAAGAATAAATATGTTTTTATGTGTGAAAAGTCTGTATGAATACATTAAACACATTTTGCTGTGTGCTTCTGTCTCATTAATATTTCCCCAGCAGGCTAAACATTTTATAAGGGCAGAAATGGTATCCCTTTATCCCTGTGTCCCCAGGACTTCATATAGAGTGTGGCGTGTAACGAGTGTTCCAAGACAATGTTGGGTAAATACGTGGCCAGGCAGGAACCTTGCCTCTTACTCCTGAATCTGCCCCCAGGAAGCTGGCGCCCACAGTGGGTCTCTGTAAGTTCTCATTGGCTTAATGAAGCGATGGATCAATAACTACGGGGGTGCCCAGCCTTCTGCTCTCTTCTTGGGAGATGCCAGGGGCCATCATTCTGTCTGGGAGGAGCAGTCCTCTGGCTGGGAGACAAGCCGGTCCCCTGCCCAGCACTACAGCACCTCCGTGGAGGCTGGTGCACAGTGGGCTTCTACACAAGGTCTGCTCAGGTGAACAGTCTTCTCCATCTGGCTCCTATGCTTTCAATAAGATGGTGACCAGGAGAGGAGCTCCTCATTGCTTTGGGACTTTATATGATAAATTTAGGGGCTTGGAGAAGAATCAGTGTGCACTGGCCACAACTTCTTGGAGAAAGGGGCAATTTGAAAGCGCTACTAACTGGTGAGTTCTGCAGCCTCTACTTGGCAGGCTTCATGGAATCCTCTCTTATGGTAACAAATTCTTGATGGACTACTTCTCTACAACTCAATAGCACTGAACTAAGCACTTTACATGGATTATCTCGTTTAATTCTCCCAACTACCCTGTCCAACCACCCTGTGAAGCCCATACCTTCATTATCTCCTTCTTTCAGATGAAAAGACTAAAACCCGGAGAGGTCATGTTACTTGTGCTAGGATATGCAGCTAGTAAGTGGCAGAGCTGGAACTATCTGACCCTAAAGCCAGCCTTTCCCTCTGCCAGGGCCATGTCCCTTTTCCTGTTAGAGCATAAACGACAAACAGGTTTCTCCTCTCATGCGGACTCTGACTGACGGGTAGTGGCTGCTTGGAGCTCCATGTTGGAAGTATATGAGTGTTGTGACTGACTACTAATGCCTGTCATGTGCATGGGGAGGGACAATGTTGGCAAGAATGTCCCCGATTTGCCATCTCTGTAAGACAAAGATGCCAGCTTTCTGAGGGCAGAGATGAGACCTGACCCTGTTCCCTTTCATCCCTGAAGCTCGTCTAGTTCCAGCCGGGCCTCTCCATCCTCACCCTGCCTGGCCCATCTCTGCTTTCTGGGTCTTTCCCCCACTCCCCTACTCCTTGCCCCGTGGATAGAGTCACCTCCACTAGTTTTACTCATGTGTTAATCGGGGGCCCTGTGCTGGCAATTAGAGGTGACAATTCTGAGTACCTGGGCCCCTCCCCTTTCCTAGGCAGACACCCAGCGCTTTGAGCAGCAGAGGTCACACAGCAAGGAAGCTGCACACAGGCCTGAGACCCAGTGCCACCCTCCTAGGACCTCTCCGAGCCACATACCCACCTGCCCTGTCCCCGTCACAATGTCTAAGCACCCAAGGGGCTGACAGATGTCCTAAGTGCCTTGCTGAATAAACACACAACTGGTCACCTGATCATCATCTCAGGTGGGCCTGGGGGCCATGGACAAGGGCAGATGCCAGGAGTAAGACATCAAAGGAGAGAAGGAAAAAGTGAAGGCAGTGGAGGCGAGAGGATCTGGGGAGGGTGGGGGACCCAGGATTTTAGGCAAACTCACCATGCTGTATGTCCTTCCATAGGACCCAGTATCTGGAATTATCTTCGAAGGTCACAAGGCAGCTCTGCTTAGAACTGCTGACCTGGGGAACAGAGAGGGGCCAACGTGAGGAAGGGCTGGGGAAGGCCTAACTGGAACATGGTCTTCCTCCCCCATTTTTGTCTCCTTGGGCTCCAGAAAGCAGGGCGAGGCTAGAGAGGTAAGGAGGGTGGCCGTTCCTGGAGATGGTGCACTCCTTGTCACTGGAGTCGTACAGCCAGGGACTGGGGATGCCAGCTTGGTGGGAATGTTGAGGACAGGACAGGCCGATGGTCATCTGTGATCCTCTCCAACCTGATTTCATTCTGTTTTGCAGGCCCTCAGAGCACTTTTCTAAAGAGCTGCTTGGATGATGTTGGCTCTAAGAACGGCACCTGCAAAACCAGGCTCTGGCTTCTCTCACTGCCTGCGGTTGCGCATGAGGGACCGGAGGGAATTCCCCGGCAATCCCCCCCACCCCCATCACCGGTCTGAGCGCCGGGCTGGAGGATGGGCAGAGAGATGCCGAGCCTGGCAACAAGGGCCCGAGAGGAAAGGTTTACCCTCTTGATCTTCCCGAGGTAATACAGTCCGTCTGTCCATCGGCACAGCACATACTGGCCCTCCGTCAGCTTGGACATCAGGTCTTTGAAGTTGTTCTTGGCCTTCGCCAGGGCCCCCTTGTTGGGGAGGTGGCTGCTGGCACCATAGGAGTCCCGAGTCCCTGGATCCAGAGCTCGATTCTCCATCAGCTTCCACTGACACTGGGAGAGAAAGAGAACAGAGCTTTTACCTCTTGCTCCCCTGCTCCAGAAAGCCCAGCACGGGAAGAGAGGAAACTTCCACATCTGTTACCTGTGCTAGGTACAAGACACGTTTATTATTTCACTGAATACTCATGACAACCTATTAGGAAGACATTAGTATTCCCATTTTACAGATAGGGAAACTGAGGTATGGTAAGAAGAGGCTGATGGGCCAGAGGCAGAGCCACGGTTCACAATTGGGGGAGCTAATGCTCAGTCCTGTCTCTTCCCACCCTCACTGTGCTGCCTTCCAAAAAGAATGGGTCTCTCAACAACACAGAGCAATGTCCCCTGCCCAGGGGGCCTCAACCATGCTCCCTCTCTCAGGAGGCCGAGGGGCTTTATCCCTTTATCCCTTAAGCAAACACACTCCGTGTGCTCTGGTTTGAGGGCCTTCTCCAGGTGGTGGCGGGCCACCTCCCCCGACCCACAACAGCACACAGGCACTGGGCAGTTTTATACCCCCTACCCCTAACCTGAGATCTGTCTAGAGAAAGGTCACCTAGAAAGGAAAACTCCTGGGTGGCTCATGAACTGGTGTAGACTGCGCCATCTGTGTCTTTTGTAATCCCCTTTTCTGTTCTCAATTACGGGAAGATTTAGTGGAAACCAATTCTGGGACATTTAAATCCACTGTGCTTTCACCTAGACGCACATTTGCTCCAAGCCGTGGAATCGTCCCCACGCCAGCCCCTCCACACCTGTCACCATGCTATTCTGTGCACGGTTTTCCCATCCCTCTCTCCCTGCTAGGGGTACCCTGGGCAGGGAGTACCAAGGAGTCTCCAACCAAGGAGCGGCCACGGCCTGCCACTTTCAAGCGCGATGGCTTCTGGCATTCATGTCTCCTTTCCATCCTCCTGTAGGGGTCTGAGTTCAGGCCTCATCTTTTGCTACAGCCATTCTTTCACCACTCGCTCAGTAACCGTTCCCCAGGCCTCTGCTCGCCTCTGCTAGACACCTGGGCTGGGAACGTACCGCCAGGCCCAGCGCTGGACAGGCCACTCCTGCCTTCTTACCTCTCCACCACACTCTTCCTCAGGCCGCCAACTCTCTTTCAGAAGCCTTCTGGGGCTCCCCAATGCCTTCAGTGGTGGTCAGAGCCTTCCCCAACATCCTCTCCTCCTCCCCCTTCGGGCTCACCTGGCTCCATGCCCCCCACACACTCCACCACCGCCAGACACAGCCTCCCTCTGTTCCCTCACAGGCCACTCTGGTCTCCTCCCTCTCCGCATGGCCCTGGGCACCTGGTGCTATGACTATCTGCCGACAGGAGCGAGTCCCGTGCCTGTTTCCGTGTGAGTGCGTGTGTGCACTCCCGTGAGACGGTGCAGGACCATGTCTACAGCAGCGAGCCAGTGAGTATGCGAAACCACAGACATGTGTGTGCGTGTGTGGCCCCGGGTGAGCAGGGCACTGCAGGGGTCTGGGCTCCCCAGATGATGGCTGGCCACGTCCCCATCCACCCCGCCCCCGCATAGTGCACAGGCACTGGGCAGCGGATGCGGCCTGAACCCCTGCCCTCTCCTGCCCCTGCCCTCTCCCTGCCACCTGGCTCCCCGGCACTGGAGGTCCCCGCCCGCCCGGGCTGGGGCCAGGCGGAGGCGGCGGCAGGTTCACTAACTGACACTTCCTCCCCCGCTGCGCCTTTGGGAGCGGGCCCGGTCGCCGCACCCCCTCCAGCCTGGCCGGGCGGGGGCCCCCGGGTGGTGGCCCCCACCCCCGCCTCCGTCCTCCCGGAGCGGGCCCCCGCGGGCTGTGATTGGCTGATTCAAACCCATCTGCAAAGAAATGCCTGTTTGCGGGTTCCCGTCCGCGTCCAGTTCAAATCCGCGGCACCCGGAGCGCGGGGCCGGGCGGGGGCAGGAAGCAAGGATGATTCATGCGCCGGGGCCTCTCCCAGGGCGGCCGTTGGCTTTTTAAAAAGGGTGTTCAGGAGCGGGGGAAAGACTGCACAAGGGCCCTTCAGGTCCGAGCGCTCCGCTCCGCAGTCGCTCCGACGCCACGCTCCCCCCATCCCAGTCCCGCCGCAGCCGGACTTCGGACGTGAGCAAAATCCCCAACGCCGTGTCTGTCCTTCCCCCACCCCAGCAGCAAAAGTAAAGATTCGGGGCCAGGAATAACGACCTGTCACCCACGCCTGCCAAGGCTCGGGGACCCGGGTGGGGCTCCCGCTGTCCTGCGGGCACCGTTCGCCCCCCATCCACATCCCCCGCGCGCCGCCCCGCAGGACTCCAACCCCGGGCGTCCGACCCGCCAGGGTTCAGGAGATTTCGAAAGGAGAGCGACGTGCGCAGGAGAGCAGAGTGTGGCGGGGAGTCCCCGGCCGGGCCGGCCGCCCGCAGGCGGAACTTACCGCCAGGCTGCGTGTCTGCCGGTCCCACTTGGAGTCTGGCCACCAGGCGCATCGGCGGCGGAGGCGGCTGCGCTCGGCCCGCGGCTGCCCGGCCGAGTGTCCGCCCGTGGGGCCGGGGTCGGGGTCTCGGCGGGGGCGGGGCGGGGCGGGGGCGCCGCGGGGAGGAGGGGGAGGCGGCGGAGGGAGGGGCCGGGGCGCTCAGGAAGGGGCCCCCCGGGCGCGGGGCGCCATCTTTTTCGCGTTTTCCCGCGAATTATTGACGTCCCGCTTATGTAATTAGCGGGGGCCGCGCCGGCCTCGCCATTGGAGCCCGCGCCCGCCGCGCCCCGCAGTGCCGCCCGCCCCCGGCGCGCATCCTCCGCGGCCACCGCGCGCCGGGCGTCCCCGGACGCAGGGCCCCGAGGCACGGGCACCCGAGACACACAGGACAGCGCCCTGCGCGCATGGCGCACACGGCGGGCTCGCACACACAACTCCGCGCACAAGGCAGCGCGCAGCTGGCACAGACACACAGCGGGGCCGTGCAGACATACACCCACGCGACAGACACACAACACCTTGCACTTACAGCATGGACGTGCTGCACAGAGACACAGCACACGCATGAAAGAAACAGTCACACAGCACAGAGCACAGACACAAGTCACGGCACATAATATGCAGGACACAAACACATAATGAAGGAGTTACTGTGCACACAGGCCACAGACATAGCTACGCAAGGAGAGGTGCAGTGTACACAGTATAGACACAAGAGACACACAAGAGAAAGTACACCAACAACAAATCGCACACAGACACAGTGCACAGAAATACAAGATACAATCGCAAGCAGACCACATACACCAACTCATCAGATAAAGAAATGGCGCGCAGTGACAGACAAGAGACACAGGAATAGCAGGTTGAGGCAGTGGGCATGGCTCCAGTCACATATGGTCCCTGCCCTGGCAGACATGACCCCAAGAGGCAGACATGACCCCACCCAGACCCACTCTTGGTGGGGTAACGGTGGGGAGCACCTACCAATAACCCGCCACCCCCATCCCTGCCCTCAGTCCCCAGCGCCCACCTCACCTGCTGTCATCCTGCTCTGCAGACATCCCCGCGGGACTGGGGGAGTACGTGCTTTCATGGGTGTGGCCCGTGGACACACCTCCCCCCAGAGCCTTCCCTGCTCACTGTCAAGTTGCCCACCCTTGGTACTCTGCCTCCTATCCCTGGGGTCTGGTCTGTCTAGCCCCCTGCCTGCCTTTCTCAGGCGGAGACCCGGAGTCCTTTCTCCTCCTTCCTTACCTCCTGCCACTCCTTGGCCCTGCTCCCCACTCCTGCCTCACTGACCCTTTCTCTGTCCTTGAGCCAAGGCAGAACCTGGCAGTTCTGAGCACCTGCCTCCCTCTTCCTGTGCCTGGAAAGAAAAGTGGGGAACAGCACCATCAGACGACATCTCCCAGTCCTGGACAGCAAATTTTCAAGTCCCAAAGGCGCCCTAGGATCATGCTACTTATTCACATTTTGCCAAGAGAACATGTGTCCAGCGAGGGCAGGGCTGGTGACGAGAGTGGGACACTCCCGCGGCTCTGCATTTTGGCCCCAGCGGGGCAGAGATCACGGAGCGAAGCGTCACCTCTGAGGCTTACAGGCCAGCTCCCCTCATTACTAGCCATGGGACCCTGAGAGTGTCACTTAAGCCTCCATTTCCTCATCTAAATAGAATTGTTGGGAAGGTTAGAGTTAACGTATGCAAAGCCCCTGGCACCAGTGGGTGTGCAGTGAGTGATGATTTCTTTGTCAAGAAATTCTATATTCATTGAGTGCCCCCTGGGTGGGACTAGAGCTGGCGACTGTGGGGCCCACATTCTCGTGGGGGAGTCCGTTGGCACAGGCAGTGACACGTACATAAATAACAGGGGCTTGTGCAGTGAACTGCACATGGAATTGGGGTGTCCTGGCTTTAAGTACAGCTCTGCCTCTGAGCCAGGGTGGGCTCTTGGGTGAGCTGGTCCCTCCTTAGGTCATGTTTCCTCTTCTGATCCAATCTACTACTCCCATCTCTGGGGGCATTGCATAGATAAAGGTTCAAGTAGGATAATGACGGAGCAGGTGCTTTTGTAAACTAAAAGGTGGTCTGCAAAATGAGAAGTTGTTAAAACACTGCAGAACAGGAAATTATAAATGCCACAAGAAAGATACAGTGTCACCAGTGATTGTTTGGAGGCAACTCTTTGAGTTGAGGAGAGAGTAAGTTTCTTGGAAAAGGTGGCATTTATTAATAGATAGGCTGTGGAAATAGGGAGGCGGGTGTTCCGGATGGAGGGAATTTAATGGGCTGACAAACAATCCAAATTTTAAAAACTGGGTTAAGGATATCAACAGGCAATTCATAAAAGAGGAAATTTAAATGGCCAAAATGGCCCAAAATATGAAAAGATGTTCACCCTCCTTGGCCATGTGGGAGATGCACATGGAGAGAATGGTGGCATCATTTCACATCCACCAGACTGGCACGCGGTAAAGAGTTGTCAATACAGGGGAGTGGGGGCAGTGAGGACATGGCGCGTGTTGGGACCCTCACAGCCTCCAATGGGGCTGTAAATGGGTTTAATGACTTTGGAGAACAGTTTGGCAACATCTAAGGAAGTTGAAGATGCTTGTATCTACAACTCAGTGATCCCACTCTGGTCACTCAGCATATAATTGTAAACATTTAGAAACTGATGAATTGTCTATCAACAGCAGTTCAGATGGATAAATTGTGATATCCTTATACAATGGAATAATATACTGGGAGTAAAAAACTAAGGCCATAAGCCTCAACATAAATACACTCTAGAAAAAACCAATGTCAGGTTGTAGCATGGGTACAGTGTGATTCAAAATGTCTTTTAAAACATTCAAAAATGTGCCACGTATACATTTTCAGGTGTACAGTCAGGTAGTCAAAGCGTTGAAACATGCATGGGAAATGAAAGACCCAAATTTAGAATAATGGTTACCTCTAGGCAGGAAGGGATGGGAATGATGTCAGAAAGAAGCATGCAGGGGATATAGTGACATTTGTAACGCTTTGTTTCTTAGAAAAAAATAAAGCGCTCTGAAGCAAAGACAGCAGTGTCAAGATTTGACAAGGCTGGGTGCCTGGTGCAGGCTGGCTGCAGAGAGCTCAGGACCTCTCTGATCTCCTCAAGTCTAAAACTTTTCATCTATTTTATGTGTGTTTGAAATATTTGAAATTTTAAAGACAGCAGGGGCAGGAAGACTATGAGGGCGCACAGAGGAGGTTCCACCCGCCAGGTGAGCAGGGCGGCTACGGCTCAGTGTCCTCTCTACTCTGAGGCTGATCGCTCTCCTCTTTAAGACTTGTCACAGCTTAGTGAGCCAGGCGTGGCAGGCATTCAGGGGATAAAACTGTGGTTTGGACAGGCGGAGTGATTTCCCCAATTTTGTCTCACCCAATATTGTCACACACAGTAGGGAGTCAGGGCACATCCCCTCCCCTCAGCTGTGTCTCAGCTCCTGCCTGTCAGGGGAGATCACCAAGAGCCAAAGATCCCCAGGAGAATGCCTCCTGCCTCGAAATAATCTATCCTGCTCCTTCTGCTGAGCTGTTCTATTTTTTCTTTCAATTAAGGACAGTTTAGAAAATACAGAAAAGCACAAGGAAGAAAATGAAAGTCACTTGTGATTTTCATTTACTTTTAAAATCAGCTTTATTGAAGTATACATATGACAAATATGACGTATGTATACTTCACATATGACAAATACACCTTTCTTTCTTCTTTTTTTCTTTTTTTGAGGCAGAGTCTCGCTCTGTCGCCCAGGATAGAGTACAGTGGCATCATCATAGCTCACTGCACCTCAAACTCCTGGGCTCAGGGGATCCTCCTGCTTCAGCCTCCAGAGTAGCTGGGCTGACAGGTGTGAGACACCACACCCGGCTAAAATTTCACCTACTTTAAATGCACAGCCACTAATTTATTTCGAGAGAACATCATTTTGTTTCAGAAATATTTGTTCAGGTACTAAACAGGTTAGCCTATGTGATAGTGCTGTGCAAAGCAGATGAATAAGAATTATAAATACAATTTTTAGAAATCATTATTATGCAGGTGACCAGTTAGATGGGCCTGTGTTTCGTTGCCTGAATCTGGGGGTCGGTTTGGTACGTCCTCACCATGGAGGTGCCGAGAGTTTTCAAATTATAGTAGAAAGCATGGCTGTTAACATCAATGGGAAAAAAAAAAAGATTGACAGGGTCAGACTGTGACCTGTTGAAGTGCCTGTGGCCTTGGTTAGCTGCCAAGCCATAAACACCTTTACCTGTGGCTTTTGTGGGGAAATGAGAGAAGTCTGCTCCCTCTGTGAGCCCAGGAGGTATAGAAAAAGGAGCCTTCACCAGGCACAGGAGATCTGTTACCACCCCCACGTCCCCCAAGCTTGCTGTGGAGCCATGAGTGGGGCCCTTCCCTTCTCTGAATTTTAGTCTCCACATCTGTTAAAAATCAAGTGGTGCTTTATCCTCCCTTCCGACATCCAGCAGGCGTGCAGGGAGCCGTGCTGCGGGCAGGCAGTGTGCTATGTGGCGGGAGTGGCTTGGACATGAATAAGGTGCAGACTCCCACCTCAGGCAGCTCCCAGTCCAGAGCTGGTGGCTGGGGCTGAGGGGACAGATGCATCCGTGGGTGACTATAGGAGTGTGTTAACAGCTGGGGTCTAGACAAAGAGTTCTCTGCTGTAAGCAAACCCTGATGACCTCTAAGTTCCCTCTGACGGCACAATTATTTGATTCTATGAACTTAGTCTAAGCCTTGTTTCTCCGTCACTGGGTAACCTTGGATAAGTCACTTCTCTAAAAATGGGCCTCAGATTCACTCACTGGTCAAAGTATGAAGGCTTGAACAAATCGGTGGTCCCCAATCATTCTTCATGAAGGATCTTATGGAAAGATTTGACCCACTAAGAGCTGCATTGACTGATTTGAGTTACTTTGTCTTGTTTTTATGAATTAGG